ATCACCATACACGAAATAGGGTGAATACATCTCATTACACTGATTTACTGGTAGTCTCGAAACCCTACTCGAAAACGGTTAAAAGCAGCATGACCAACATGGCAAATCATTCTATGTCTATCTATCAGTGCCTATAGATTGCCGATTTTTAGTTATGAGTATATAGAAGAGGTAAGACTTGGCGGCAACTTGGGACTTTGATCAGAATGAGTGTCAGCTTTGATGATGTCCATCTCGTGGACTGCGTCCGTCTGAAGGTCGTATAGAAGCCGAACGGCTTCAGTAAAACGCGATTAATCCGTCCTCTTTTTCTGGTGAGATCGACGTACGAATCTTTTCTTCATTCACTTTCATGCAAAACGGAAATCTGCACAACAATAGGCATGAAGTAACAAATAAAAACAATCTGATGTCTCATAATCAATGCTAAGCAGATGATAAAAAGTGAATAATTTTGGTATATTGGTGTTTATTTCTCGTAAATCATGCCTTCTTGGTCGATGATGGGTGAAGATGAGTCGAGGGCATAGCAGCACAATCCGACAATCATCATCTCACGGAATTCACGAATCCCTTCCAACCAAATTGGCCCTCGAAACGAAGCGTCAACACGTTTTCGCTTCGATTCAACCACAAACTGATCAGGAGGATACTCAATTTCGACATGGTTAGGATTCGGTACCGAGTTGTGAATAGTGGCATCCAAGCTACCACTGCACTCCACTCCACGGCCAGGCGTGTTAGTTGGTCACGAGACAGACGCAACATGTAGAAGAGGCAAGCTCCCTGCCAAATCACATTTTCACAGTGGGATTGCCGATTGGCCGAACATGTGTTTGCCATTTCAATCGATCAGGTTGCCTAAGCTTCTATTCAATAATTGCGCAGTCTCGAAGCCTACTCGTAACGAAAGTGAGTAACGTGATGAATTGCACTTGTTTTCACATGCTTGCCCATTCTAAACTGGCCTTGAATGCCGCATCGGCCCAGTGGAGTGAAGCGGCAGCATAGCCGCGCTACCTACGGCGAGGGTTCGAATCCCGAACGAGGGCGCTGACGAGGCCGGTTCAGGCGAGGTCAAAAGGTCACACCGGCCTGAATGAGATGGCGTTTTGTGTGGCTGGGCTAAGGGAAATTCACACGTATCCTTAGACCTGGATGGTGTGGCCTTTTGTGTGGTCGCAGTCTCCTTTCGTTCTATACAAGTTGGTTGACCTTGTCATTGCGACTTGGTCATGTTGGTAGGAAGACTTAGAGCAACGCACCTTGTTCGGAGTACATTGTATGCATCATCATTTCCAAAGTTGAATCGTCGACGTGGTACATTCCCAA